CTTACCTCCACTTCCTTTGTCCCCCAAGCAAAAATCAGAAACTGTAAAGATAATATAGAAAAAGAAAATTTTGACTGTCCAACTTAATTTGTATTTTAAGATTTAATAGGGCCAAAGTGAGATTTTAAATTATAGAATGTTAGAGCCAAAAAAAGATTACTTGCAACTATCTAAAGCCCTACTAGATCCTGGGAAAACCCCTTTTACAAATGTGGAAATCAAAGCCTGAAGAAGTGAAACAAAATCACTCAGGGTTACAGAGCTGGCCAAGCAGAAGACAAACACAGCACCCAACTTCCGACCGAGTCGTCACTTCAAGGTGCTACATAGATTGGTTTCTTTTCAATGCAATCACGATTAATAAATTTAAAAGCAAACTTAAGGGACTTCCTCGGTAGTCCACTGGTTAGGACTCCACGCTTTCACTGCCAAGGGTGTGGGTTCCTGGTCAGGAAACTAAGATCCCACAAGCCATGCAGACCAACCGCCCCAAAAAAAGCAAACTTAAGTTTATACTAAACCCAGCAGCTTCTTACATAAAGAATCATAATTTAGTTGTTAAAATCCAGACTCTGGGCCAGGCTCCAGTCTCCCCATTTCCAAGCTATATGACCTTGGCTGATTTAGATAAGCTCTCTTCACCCAGATTTCATCATATAGAATGAAGATCATAAGCACTGACCTCAGAGAACTGTTCTGAGAATAAAAAGACTCACTGCATGTAAAGCATGTAGGACAGAGCCTGGCCTGTGTTAGGCATTCAACAAAGGTGATTAGAGACCATCCAGTCGGCCGGGATCCATTTCCTTCCTTCTTAGAATCTTAAACTCCTCACTCTGGGTCTGGTGCATCATCATCTCAACATCCCAGAGATGGCTGTTAAAGCTATAAAGTAATTACAGAAGCATACAGAGGCAGCCAGAAATGAAAGTCACCCAGCATTATGCTCTCCAAAGGCCCATGCTGACACCAGCAAATGATGCAGTGGCCACGAAGGGCCAGTGCTGACTAAGACGGAGCATTTCATCAGGAACGTGGCCCTGCCTTGCAGTTGAGAGGGGTGGGGAAGGGCCTGGTGGGCACCAGGCTGCACGCTTACAGGGAGAGGAACACTGCTCCCCAGTACCGACCACCAAGAGCAGAGAAGCCTCCCCGCACCTTTGTGCTTTCTCTTTAAGTAACTCAGACAACTGTGCCCCAGTCAGTTCAAACCACTCCCATGACAGCCCATGTGCCGGTCCATCATGGACAAGAGGAAAATGGAGACCCTGCTTCACAAAGTCAGACATTCCTTGTACACCAAATGCCAAGACACTAATTCTCTGTGGCCAGTAACACGCAAACAGGTATACTTTCATACTGAGCACAAGCTGTATATTCATTCCAGAATGCAAAGATCAACAAAATACAGAACTGTATGTATTATGGTGTTAACTCTTAAATTCCACTATAGTTTAATTATTAACCTAAACATACACATTACAGTAGCAGCTTGTACTCTTTTAAAAAAAAATGAACAAAACAGCTCTAATTTATTTCCACATTCATAAATACTTAACTATAGTAACAGGACTAGATTGACTTTGCTGTCATAATGACTAGCGTTTAAAAGATTTTTCTAAATCAATTATTTTCACAGCCAATGCAAAATATTTGCTAAAAAGGACAAAATCTTTTCAGAGCCATTTCCTCTGGGAAACAATATGGAATGCTAATATTTTGGAAACCAGAGACCCGCTAGTTTGAGATTCTGGATGCCTTTCCAAAAGAGACACATAAGAATAACTGTTACTCCCTTCTCTTACTTAAAACAAGGGCTTGAAAAATATTACATCTAAAGGCACTAAGCAGGCTTCTCTGGCGGTCGAATGGTTAGGAAGCTGCCTGCCAACGCAGGGGACGTGGGTTTGATCCCTGGTCTTGGAAGATCCCACATACCACGGGGCAATGAAGCCCCTACTGAGTCTGTGACCCCTAGAGCCCACGCTCTGTAACAAGAGAAGCCACTGGAATAAGACTCCTGAGCACCACAACTAGAGATAGCCCACATGCAGCAACAAAGACCCAGCACATCCAAAAATAAATAAATGCACTAAGCAAGAGACTGGACTTTCCACAGTGTGTAGATATCAAACTGCAAACTGTACTAGAGCTGCAGCCTATAATGACTGTGAGCCAAAATACATTTGCTGCTGACCAAAACAGCTTGAAGCATTTTTTAACAGATTCTTCATTTCCCTGGAGATGCATACAACCATTAAAAAGAGATTACCCATAGATCTCTAAAAGCATGTACACATGGGTATTAACTGCAGTGTAGTGTGTAACAGTAAATAAGTGGAGATAATCTAAATATCCCTAAAGAGAAGAATGATTAAACTGTGCTACATCCAGACAAGAAATTCCATTTGGTGGCTAGAAAGAATGAGGTAGATTCTCTAGGCACTGACATAGAAAGATAATTATAATATACTGGGAACTAAAAACACAGGAACAATGTTTCTTATGGACCACCTTTTGGAAAAATATCTTAAAAATATTTTTATTCTATATATCAATTTACATATTGTTCTATGATTAATTTTTCCTGCTATATATATGTTTAAGAATGCAAAAAAGTCTATAAATGACACTAAACCCCACCTCTGCAGAGGGTACTCAGAGGGTAGACTTTATATACTTTGTTACATAACTTTTTTTAAACTAAGAAGCATGTTCTACATTTTGCAATTGTTAAGTAAAAAATTAACTTAATAAAACTAATTTACATTTAATTGAACATCAGATGTGCCTTCAAGTTTCTCTCTTATCGCCATAAAATATACCTTTCTTTGTGTCAACAATACATTTTTTCGGTCATGTGAGCTCTCACACTCCCACATTTAATAGAAAGTTATTTCCTTCAAATGCACATAGATTCTAGACATCTTGAGATGCAAAGTACTGTGGTATCACTAAAAAATGACCTGAAATCAGATGGTTTAAAAATAGATCCAAGTAGGGATCTTGTTCACTGCGACATTATTCGTCTCCTGTCAAAGACATCGCCTCCGAACTCCTTCTCTACCTCCACCAGCACCACAGAGAGGTTAGTCCGGTTTCTTTTCCCACAAACAATGGTTTTTCCTCCCTTCAACCATGAGAACTTGCAGGCCCTTCAGTTTCCCACCAAGAACCCTTCTCGGCGGCAACTTCTGCAAAAATCCAGGTTCCTATTGCAGGAAATTATGGACAATCATAGAATACCTTTCTATTCCATCCTCTAGGTTCCACTGAGTAATTAAACATTAAAACTTAAACTTATGAATCACAGAGCCTCAAAAATGAAGCATCAGATACTTAAGTTTTCATCAAATAATAGAGAAATTCTTTAAGAAAGACACATTCTGATGGTCATTCTAGAAAGACATCCTTATGACTGGTGAGTCCAGTCCCAGATGCTGCTGCAATGGAAGAAAATATGATAAAACAGACCCAATAGCACTAACAGCAGTGAACACTGGAATGAATGTCATATTGCTTTTTATACTTGTATATTCTAAAGATTTTATAACAAACACATATGTGGTATGCAGAAAGTTTTTTTAAGGGTCTTAAAAAGATACTGGTTAAGACCCCGGTCAAGCTGACAAACCACACAAAGAAACAAATGCTCTGGGTCTCCACCAGATTCTCCCAGGGAACCTTTGAAAACACCGCTGGCATCTTGGAAATGAGGAGAAACATTACCTCTCCTGGGAGAACTTTGACTCCCTGAGCTGAGCTAATTGCTCACTTTTCCATATTCCCCCAGCACTCTGTTCTACCACTATTACCATATCAAACATATTATTTCTACACTGAGATTCTTGATTTGCAGGTAGCATTCCCCCCACACTGAAAACTACAAGCCCCTCCAGGATGCAGAATATAACATGCTGATTTTTGTGGTCCCAAGACAGTGCTTGAAATATCAGAACAGTCCTCATTGCAAATTTACTTCAATATTTAGTTAAGTACCTGTGATAAATGAAAACATGCTGAAGTCCGCTAGAGGTACATACCCATCGTGGGCTTTACAGGTTAACTCCTGTGTGACTGGGAGCAAACCCACCCAACACTAGCCCCTGACACCCACATTTTCCAATGTCATCACGATGGTAACAAGAACAGACCTGTAACTGTCAGTAAACAAGCAGACTCAGAAAGAAGGCAAAAAAAAAAAAAGAGGCAGAAGAGATTCTCTGTCTCGTAATGAAATGGGAAGCACCCTCCTTTGAACAGGGGTCTCTAGGTTATAGGTAATGTCATACTTCTAATGATGGTGCTGGGTAGAGAAAGTTTTACTTTCTTCTCTACAGACCTTTCACAGGTTATAAAAATTCTTTTCCACGATTCAATAGTCACTGAAACCAATACAAATTTTCAAAAGAATTCCCTTTGTTCACTGATTTAATAAACACACTTTAAGCATCTACTGTGTGCCAAGTGCTATGCTCTGGGAAAATTCAGACACGCACCAGTCACAGCACATACCTTGAGGGGTTTGCAGTCAAACATGGGAGACACATACAACACAATAGGATGCTACTTATAATAGGTTTCCTCCTTTTATGGGAACCCAGGGAAAAAATGGTCTAACCCATCATTCTCACTGCTTCTCATTCCACAAGGGAATGAGGAAAATCTTAAGATGATACATATGAGGAAGGAAAGACAAATTGCAACCAAACACACAGCTCAGGACTCTGCAACCAGCACGTTGTTAAAAGTGATGGCAAACACATCAAGCCATCTCAGGCATAAACACTGGTTCCTTTTGTTTATTTCTCCTTCTTCTCATGCGTTTTATTATCTGAAGAACGATTTGCAGCATCTACTATGCAGAATCCCCCAGAGTTAAAAATATATATATTTTAAAATATGAGTCAGCTAAGCTCTGATAACTTAAGCTCTATCTTCATGTGAAGCCGCCGAGGGTAAGCGCCCACATGCTGAATGCCATCCCTCCATCTGCTTACCACGTGTGTTGGTGGCCATGTCAGCCACTTTCTGAAAGGCGTCCAAGAAGGCAGCTGCTGCTACTACTGTTGTCCTAAAATGCAAACAGATAACAAAAGCATGAGGAATGTCTCACACCAGCACATGCGTGATAGCAAAAGGACTGGAATCTCTGCCAGGGACTGAAAGTCACCCTCCAAGAGGGAAAACCTGACTGGATACAGACAACCATCGGCTTCATGGAACCCTTTTTTTTTTAATTGGAGTATAACTGCTTCACAATGTTGCGCTGGTTTCTGCCATACAACAACATGAATCAGTCATTGGTATGCGTGTGTGCGTATATATCTTTATATATATGTGTGTGTGTGTGTGTTTCCCCTCCCTCTTGAACTTCCCTCCCACCCCTACCCCATCCCACCACTCTAGGTTGTCACAGGGCATGGGGTTGAGTTCCCTGTATTATATAGCAACTTCCCATTAGCTACCTGTTTTGCATATGGTAATGTATATGTTTCAAAGCTACTCTCTCAATTCATCCCACCCTCTCCTTCCCCCACTGTGTGTGGACCTACTTTTTAAAGAAGACTTTCTCCTACTGCACTGTACCCCAATAATGTATGGCTTATGCAGTACTAATCAACAAATGCTAACTATTCTTCCTACTCCATTTCACCTGATGGTATAAAATTATTAACAAGTAAAATTTCACAAAGAAGGAAAAGACAGGTGTTTCTACCTAAAAAGAAAAACATATTTAAAAAATATATAAGTGGTATGACTGAAAGATACTTTAGAGCAAGAAAACAATATAGCTACATGGATTGGTAGAAGGGATCCTGAAGAGATCTAGGTTAAACAATTCATCTTAGAGATGGGAAAACTGAGACCATAACTACACAGTGATTGTCAAGATCACCAGTTCATACCACAGCTGAGACTAGTAGCCCAGCATGACTTACAATCCCATGTTCATCCCACTATAGGATCCCAGCTATGTGACTTTCCCCCCTAAATCATGACTGTAGTGAAACCGACATACTATTTTTTCAATGTTAGAATGCTATCTCAACAGCATCTCCTGAATTCCTAAAAGCTGAGAACAAGGTTCTGAGAACCCTGAGAACAAGGGTTACTATCTCATTTACTTTCCTAGAAGTTGTCTTGAATTCTTCACATTCTCTTAAGCACTGGGAGACGCCTTGAGCACTTTGTGATCTACTGGTTCCTAGAATCATGGTCCAAGATGTCATTCAACAAAGTAACCACCACTGCATCCCAGGGCTGTGAACAACCAGGACAAGCAGGCCAACCCCAGGCTCACTCACAAGAACACTGTACAACAGAGTTTACAGCCTGATGTTAACGTCCAAGTAGTTCACATACGAATACAGTCCTTATAGAGCATCCCTAATAATGCAAAGTTGTGAAGGAAGATGAGAAAAAGAAAAAGGACTAAAAAAGGAAGCAGATGAGAAGAAGGATTTAAAAAGGAAGTTCAAAATGGAGGAGAAAGAAAAAAGAGAAAGAAATGACCTTTGAGCCTAAGCAAGGTAGCTATGGAGCAAAAGGTTCTTGGAAGGTGCTAGAAGTGGTCCCCAGGAAAACCGGGGCAACAGTCCCTTAGAGTCAAGCTTCAAAATGAGGCCTGATATTTTCCAGTAGAGCAGGAAAACATTCTGGTCAAAAAAAAAAAAAAAAAACAACCACACACACAAAGACATACACACTTAACAAAAACAAAAACCCACTTCAAAGCGCATTTCTTGAAGAGTTGGCACCAACTGCAAACCATGGAAAAGTTAGCTTTACGCTTTGAGATTTATAAACAACTCATTCAAATTTATAATTAATATCTGACCCAACAGCTGGATTTACTCTCACTCAAGTCAAGGCCAATCTTCCAAATGAGCCAGCTGTAGAGGTGCCTCAAGTATTACACGGTCACCAGGGTTCCCGTGGAAACAGACTGTGGTCAAGTGTGAGGAATTAAGAGCTTTTAAATACTGCCTTCTGATGAGCCATATTTCACGGACTGCTTTTGTCAAAGGACATCTTAGCCCTCTCTGATGGCGCAGAGCAAACATGCATCCATCAGCAAGAGAAAGGAGTGATTCAGCTTACACGCTCCAAGAGTCGGCCTCTTCTCTGGTTTTATCCTTATCCACTCTCTTAATACAGAAAATTAAACCACGGGCTTGAGGTTCCCATGGTGCTCTCAACCAGGTAATAGTAGCTTGACAAAATAAAGAAATGGTCTCTGCCTCATGGGGCCTATTATTTAATGTGTGTGTGTTTGTGTGTGTGTGTGTGTGAGTGCGTGCGTGCGTGCGTGCGTGTGGCTTCCCTGGCGGCTCAGAAGGTAAAGAATCTGCCTGCAATATGGGAGACCTAGGTTTGATCCTGGGTCAGGAAGATCCCCTGGAGAAGGGAATGGTAACCCACTCCAGTTTTCTTGCCTGGAAAAACCCTATAGACAGAGGAGCCTGGTGGGCTACAGTCCATGGGGTCACAAAGAGCTGAACATGACTGAGCAGCTAATACTTTATATATATAATATGCATATTATATCTATACAGAGTTAGCCAAAATGTTCATTTGGGTTTTCCCATAAGCTGTAACAGAAAATCCTGAATGAATGTCTTGGCCAACCCCAATATATTATAATGTACTTTGTACCAGTGGGGATTAGATTGCTTTAAGTCTTATTCTGTATGTTTAAGACAGCCAATCAGGTAATTATTTTAAGCTTTAGCTGGTTCATTGGTAAAAGGAGAAAAGCATCTTTTCCCTGGTCAACCCTGAAAACCTGCCAGAAATTAAATGAGGCCAGATAAGAAGAGGTGTGGGGGGAAGGGGTTGTACTTACATGTTTTACTACAGGAGGCAACCTCCTACAGGATGGAGACTAACCTATTTGAAATGAACCATGATGGCGGCAGAGTCGGGGGAGAGGGCCTTACATTCTGAGAAGAGGAAGTTGGATTTGATCCAGGACAAAGTAATCACAGGTTCTTAAGCAAAGAAATGGCAAAGGACTCAACAAGTGGCAAGAGGGCCATATTCTGAAGCCCATGGTCCATCTGGATGCCCACTCATGGCTCTGGAAATCCCAGGCCCCATGAAGCTGAATAATGGACTGGGAAATTTCCACATCTCTCAAGTTCTCTCCTAATCTACAGGGGAGCCACGGAATGCCCAGTCCTGTGGCCAAAGTTCAGGGCAGGAACCCCTGAGGTCAACAGGCAAAGTCCTAAGAACATCATGTTACTCTTCCCTCCTCTGTCTGCCATCCACACAGCTTCTCATCCCAGAAAACACCTACCTGTTTTGTTCTCTGGAAAACCATCCCCGTACACCCAAGCCAACCCATGTCATCCCCATAGCCATGACCAGGGTCATGAAAACAACCTCTTCTTCAAATGTGCAATCACACCCCACTCCCCACTGATTTTAAAAGCATACAGCTTTAACAAGATGTTGCCATATTTCCTATTGTATATCAAATGATGTATTAACAAGCACATGAGGAGGCAATAATAACAGCCCTTTAGAGCAGGTCAGCATTAGATCTCATTGTTTTAAAACAGCTTTATTGAGATATAATTTGTATACCATAAAGTTCACCCTTTTTAGGTGTCTAAGTTGACAATTTTTCAGTAAATTCAGAGTTATGCAAACACCACCACAATCCAGTTTTAGAATATTTCCATCACCCCAACAAGGTCCCTCATGGCCATTTGCAGTCAACCTCCTTTCCCACTCCCAGCCCCAGGAAAGCACTAGTCTCCATCTGTCTCTACAGATTTGCATTATATAGACAATTCATGGAAATGGAATTATACAAACTAAATTTTAAGCTCTGTAAGAATAGGCAGGAAGCAGAATGAACTGTGGAGCCAGACTGCCTCAGTTCAATTCCCTGCTCTCTCATTTACTAGCTGCGTGAATTTGGGTAAGTTATTAAGTTTATCCCTGCCTCAGTTTTCTCATCAGCAAAACGGGATAACAACTATACTTACCTCTTGGAGTCATGAGATTTAACTGTTACCATATACCTGGCACGTAGGGAACACTCTCTATATGTCATCCATGACTACCTTACATATAACTAACTTTTCATTTGACTCTCAAAATTCCAGTGGAAGGAGGCAGAACAGATATGAGTTGCTTTTACATACAGGAACCAGTGGTCAGGACACACGGCAAAGCCAATTGGCAAAGCCAATGCATGCTTCTCAACCTGTAAGACTTCCAAAAGTAACCCTAGTTCAACTCTTGGGTCCCCGTTCTTGTATCCTTTGTATAAGGCTGCTGCCACTTTCTTGGAGATGACATGCTTCTACTTACCGAAGCTGGGACTGCAGCTTTCCAGCTTTATTAATGAAATCTTCCCAAACTGGATAGCTCCCCTACAATAAAACAAAGCCATAGATCAGTAAGTCCAGTGTGATAGATATCTGATGAAGACAATGATAACACACCCAGCTCCAGTGATAGGTGGGTCCAAATTCTAAATATGTGGAACATGTAAGACTCTACCCTGAACCACCTGATCATGACTCTGGCTGTTCTCTTCCTTATCCCAGAAGGCAGGGAGGGGGGAACCAGAGTGTTTGCAGCTCCTCTCCAGGACAGGAGGCTACTGGCAAGCATTAGACGGTAAGGAGTCCTCCTGCAATGTGGGAGACCTGGGTTCGATCCCTGGGTTGGGAAGATCCCCTGGAGGAGGGCATGGCAACCCACTCCAGTATTCTTGCCTGAAGAATCCCTATGGACAGAGAAGCCTGGCGGGTTACAGTCCATGGGGTTGCAAAGAGTTGGACACGACTGAGCAACTAAGCATACAGCACAGCGTTAGTCTAGCAGAATCTCAAGGTTTGGAAGTTACCTAAATATAGCTGCTGAGCTGATGGCTTGGGACCAGCATCTACATACTACACGGTTACAGGTGGCTCCCCAGCGTATTGCAGCTAACAGGACACTCGCCACCCTCCATGGCAACCTATCTACATCAGCCAAGCTTTCCTTTCTATCCACGCAGTCTTACTTCTAACCTAGGAATCCACAGAGTTAAATCAATCCTGCTTCCACATCTGTCTTTTCAAAGAGCTAAGGACAGCCAGCACATTCATTCACAGCATTCCTTCTTTCAGCTCCCAACCACAACTCCATTTCTACACGGGACCCTGTCTCACATCCCCGCAGGGTCTTGGGGATATTCCATCACATGTCTCTACTCTTCTAAGTATGGTGTGTGTATGTGCTTAGTTGCTCAGTCGTGTCCGACTCCTTGCAACCCTATGGACTGTAGCCCACCAGGAACCCTCCATGGAAACCTATCTACATAGCCAAGCTTTCCTTTCTATCCACGCAGTCTTACTTCTAACCTAGGAATCCACAGAGTTAAATCAATCCTGCTTCCACATCTGTCTTTTCAAAGAACTAAGGACAGCCAGCACATTCATTCACAGCATTCCTTCTTTCAGCTCCCAACCACAACTCCATTTCTACATGGGACCCTGTCTCACATCCCCGCAGGGTCTTGGGGATATTCCATCACATGTCTCTACTCTTCTAAGTATGGTGTGTGTATGTGCTTAGTCGCTCAGTCGTGTCTGACTCCTTGCAACCCTATGGACTGTAGCCCAGTAGGTTCCTCTGGCCATGGGATTCTCCTGGCAGGAATACTGGAGTGGGTTGCCATTCCCTTCTCCAGGGAATCTTCCCAACCTAGGGATCGAACCCAGGTCTCCAGCAATGCAGATGGATTCTTTACCATCTGAGTCACCAGGGAAGCCCTCTAAGTATGGTGCTTGAGACAAACTCTAAACTGCAGGAGCAGTTCTGGCTGGGGCAAACCAGAGTGGGGTCTTATATAACACATTAAATGGATACTAAGATTAAGTAACCAACTAAAAGTCAATGCAAAATAAACCCAGAGAAGAGGAAACCATGGTTAGAGAAGCAGTGTCTGGCACCAGATCATTAAAACATAGAACTCAATGGACACAAATTTGAACAAACTCCAAGAGACAGTGAAGGACAGGCAAGCCTGGCATGCTGCAGTGTATGGGGCCGCAAAGAGTCGGACATGACTTAACAACTGAACAACAACAAGATCAGGTAGCCAGCTAAGAGTCAACGCAAAATAAATCCAGAGAAGAGGAAGCCATGGTTGGAGAAGCAGTGTTTGGCACTGAATCATTTAGACATAGAACTAACCCTAAACACCTGGCGGATTACGGCTGTAGGATAGAATGTAAATGTTATGAACCTCGACAAGGTAAAAATAACATGACACCTCTTGATTTTGTCATTAAGAAGAGAGGATGGAGAAACTGAAATACAGTGAATCATCTCATTTTTTTATTATAGAAGCCCCACCAATCCCCAGGGAGCATAGAACAGTGGGGTCTTCTGTGGGAGCTGTGGACTTCTGTAAATACACTAAAATCTTCCAATTAAAGCTACGCCTAGGAAAAAAAAAAAGAAAAAATAAGTCCCATCAAAATAGACTAAAACTGAAACTGAGTTAAAACATAATGATTTCAGCTAATTTTTTCCCCTAATAATTTTAATAACCTCTTTCCCCTTACTCTTTATTTCAGTTATTATTTATTTTTATTGAAATATAGTTGATTTATAATACTTTGTCTTTTTTTTAATTTTAAATTTATTTTTTAATTGAAGGATAACTGTTTTACAGAATTTTGTTGGTTTCTGCCAAACATCAACATGAATCAGCCACAGGTATACATATGTCTCCTCCTTCATGAACCTCCCTCCCACCTCCCATCCCATCCCACCCATCTAGGTTGTTACAGAGCCCTGGTTTGAATTCCCTGAGTCTCACAGCAAATTCCCATTGGCTATCTATTTACAGGTAATGTATGTTTCCAGGTTACTCTCTCCATACATCCCCTTACTCTTAAGAGCACACTTTCTTAATCTTGCCACCACTGACATTTTGAGCTAGATAATTTTTTTTTTTTTTCAAGATGAAGGTGGGGGGCTGTCTTGCGCATTACAGGATGTTCAGCAGCTGCTCCAACCTCAATTCACTAGACGTCAGTAACATTCACAGATGTCACTGGATATGACAAAATGCCCCCAGACATTGTTCCTACAGGGCAAAATCACCCCTGGTTAAGAACCACTGCTTCAGAGGAATGTCTGAGAAATGAGTTTCTTCTGGTGAAGAAACAGTTATCTGAAGCTCAGCAATTTCTTCAGTATTACTTAATTTCAATTTCAGTTCTCTTAAAGTAATTAAATAATTTTTACTTTGAAAATATCTTGCACAGAATATCTGTTCTAAAAGTGTGTTCATTTATATATTTTGAGTCTTCTGGACAGCAAGAGGATCAAACCAGTCAATTCTAAAGGAAATCAACCATGAATATTCACTGGAAGGACAGATGCTGAAGCTCCAATACTTTGGCCACCTGATGCAAAGAGCCAACTCATTGGAAAAGACTCTGATGCTAGGAAAGATTGAAGGCAGGTGGAGAAGGGGATGACAGAGGATGAGATGATTGGATGGCATCACCGACTTGATGGACATGAGTTTGAGCAAGCTCCGGGAGTTGTTGATGGACAGGGAAGCCTGGCTGCTGCAGTCCACGGCGTCACAAAGAATTAGACATGAGTGGCTGAACAACAATATATTTCTCGAGCTATCAAGTCTGTCTGAAAACATGCAGAGATGTCAGGAAAACCATCTACCAAACATTAAAATGGAATATTTCTGGGAGCTGAGATTTGGACCAATGTGTTGTTTTCCTGTTTGTACTTTCCTCCATGGCTATAGTTTCCTGGGTTTGTTTTTTTTTTTAATAAGGGTCATACATCATTTTTATGAAAACAATGTAGTCACCACTACACTTAAAAAAATTTAAGATCAAATTAGCAGTTCTGGCAATAACAGCACTGTGAATTTACAATCCACACAGCCCCTAAAGTCTGTTTCACCTGGGCTGCTAGATCACACCCATCAATTCTGCATCTGTGCACTGGGGACCTGCTTGGCCCAATTGCACACTCTAGATTTATTCCTCCAAGCGGCAATGTGCTCCCATGGGACGCTGAGCTGCACCAGGCCAGGGATTTTGCCTGACTGGCTCCTGGCAGAAGTTCTTTGGCATCTACATCTGAGCTACTGACACCAACACTCATGCACATGTCTGGTCATCATCTGCTAAACCACTTCGCCTCCATCCCATCTCTGTGCCCCAGGGGGTCTCTTCAACCCAAGAGTATAACTTTATTTGCTTTGAATGAAACCTCTAAGGGCTCAGGCTACCTTTCCAGGCCCATTAAGACATTATGGGAAATCCCACCTATAGCATTTACCATTTTGTTATCAATACTAAATATGAACATGCCTTCTATTAATATATCTACATCCAGGTAATTAGGGGTATGGACCAAGATCAGAGTCCTCTGGCTGGGCACTAGAGATCTCTGTTCAGATGCACTTCAGCATCCTTCAGAACATGAGAGTGTTACCAACCAATTACAGCCTCATCTAGCCAGTCCTTCTCTTTCTGGTCGACAAGACAGCATGAGACGCTTTACAAAAAGCCTGAGTTCACAGACACTGAGCATCAACTTCTAGTCAAAGAAACTATCATCTCTCATCTGCACATAGAAGGAGATGAGAACTAGGTCCTCCTCTCTCCAGCACCAACCACTCCTATCCATGGAACCCCTGCAGAAGGTCACTGAGTTGATCCACAGCGTTTAAGAAAAGGGTGAGACATATTCAGCAAGAACACACCAGAATGGCAGGATCCATGTGCAGGACCACCAAATCCTGAGTTCTAGCCATGGCCCTGGCAGTGAACTATGTGGGGGGGAGTCACTTGACCTCTCAGGTCAGCTCTTTAAAATGATCAACAATAAAAAGTTATAATTCCATCACCATTATTGAACACTGACATCACGCAACACTGAAAGAATGTAGGGAAGAAATAAGGAACACAAATGCCAGAGGCCAATCTTTAGGCTAGAATCTGAGCTCTCCCACCTGCCGCATGACGGCAGGCAGGTAGTCCAACCTTGGCATGGGTCAGTCACCACTACCCCAGGTTGGTGCAAGGAGGAAGTGAGGTCAGTCATCCCAAGTGCCCAGAGCAACGCTGGGCATCCTGTAAGGGCTCAGTAACCTTTGACAGGTTTGATCCAAGTGTCTGCAGGCTCCCAACAATCTCCTTTGGGGTGCTGGGAGAGATGTTTACAACTCTCCAGGTCGGGACTTCCCTGGGTGTCCAGTGGTTAAGACTCTGTGCCCCCACTGCAAGGGGGTGGGGGTTCGATTCCGGGTCTGGGAACTAAGATCCCACAAACTATGCAGTGTGGCCAAAAAAAAACTCCAGAGGTCAGATGGTCCATACAGGCTGGAATCCCT